GTGGCTCCTCAGGCTGAGGGGACAGGTGCAGCTCCTCAGGCTGTGGCGATAGCTGTGGCTCCTCAGGCTGGGGGGACAGGTGCAGCTCCTCAGGCTGGGGGGACAGGTGTGGCTCCTCAGGCTGGGGGGACAGGTGTGGCTCCTCAGGCTTCGAAGATAGCAGTGGCTCCTCCGGCTGGGGGGACAGGTGCAGCTCCTCAGGCTGCGGAGATAGATGGGGCTCCTCGGGCTGGGGGCACAGGTGTGGCTCCTCAGACGGTGGGCAGAGATGCAGCTCCTCAGGCCGGGCACAGAGATGCGGCTCCTCAGGTAGTGGCGACAGGGGTGACTCCTCCAGCGGCAGGGACATGAGTGAGTCCTCCGGTGGTGGGGAAGCAGGTGAGTCCTCAGGTGGTGGGGATGTGGGGGAATCCTCAGGTGGTGGGGAAAGCCGTGAAGCCTCAGGTGGAGGGGACATGGGAGACTCCTCAGGCGGTGGGGACAAGGGAGATTCCTCAGGCGGTGGAGACAGGCGTGACACCTCAGGCAGGGGAGACAGGCACGATACCTCAGGTGGAGGGGACATAGGTGATTCTTCAGGTGGTGGGGACATAGGTGAGTCCTCAGGTGGTGGGGACAGGCGTGACGCCTCAGGTGGTGGGGAGAGGGGAGACTCCTCAGGTGGAGGAGACAGAGGAGACTCTTCAAATGGTGGGAACAGACGAGACGCCTCTGGTGGTGGAGACATGGGTGACTCTTCAGGTGGAGGGGACATGGGTGACTCCTCAGGCGGTGGAGACAGGCGAGATGCTTCAGGTGGTGGGGAAGTGGGCAATTCCTCAGGTGGCGGGGACAAAGGAGATTCCTCAAATGGTGGGGACAGGGGTGATGTTTCAGGTGGTGGGGACAGGGGCGTCTCGAGTGCAGGAGATGGGGGTGACTCTTCCGGTGGACAGAAGGGCGACTCCTCCAGCGGAGAAAAAGGTGATGATTCAGGTGGGGGAGACAGAGGGGACTCCTCAGGCGGCGGAGAGAGGGGTGATTCCTCTGGCGGCCGGGACAGGTGCAATGCCTCAGGAAGCGGGGACGTGGGTGATTCCTCAGGTGGTGGGGACAGGCGTGATGCCTCAGGTGGTGGGGACGTGGGTGATTCCTCAGGTGGTGGGGACAGGGGTGACTCCTCAGGTGGGGGCAGCAGTGGCATCTCCTCATTTTGGGGGGCCTCCAACTGGTGCTCAAGTTGGACTCCTGCTCTCCCTGCAGACACAACACACAGTGCTCCTATCTAGCTCAGATCTACTCCACAGAAAGTGCAGGGTCTGGGGAAACGCAGAAACTGTCTCTTGCCACAGAATAAAAGGGGATGAATTTCAGGGACCCTCAAACCCTACTCACCTAGTGGTTTGGCTTCACATTGCAGGGGCCCCGGTTCCTTGGGTTGCATAGAGGTCACGTGCCCACCCTTTGGCTGCCCTTGGCATGCAACGTACAGAGCATCGGGCTCATCAGTGGGGGTATCGCCGGGCTCTAGGGGTGAAAATCTGCAGAGGGTACAGGGGAGCAGGCACTGTGGCTCTCACCAGCTAACAAATCCTACAGAGCACACTGGGGCGAGGCAAGAATGCTGTGGATGGCACTGCCCACCTTGGAGCTCTCCTCTCAAAAGTCCACTTGATTTAACATGGCCCCTGCCAACCTCTGTCCTTTCAATCTGCCAGCCCAATCTCAGCCAGTCCACACTGCTTACCTGCTACACACAGGGGTATGCTGCTCAGCAACGGAGCTGAGAGGCTGACCTCCCTGGGCTTTGTGACAGCGGTGACAGAGAGAGTAGTTCTCAAACCACTCCGAGTTGGGATTCAGTTCTGCCGAGCCTGCCCCACAGGCCCGGCACACCCGGCATGCCTAGGGGAAGGAAGTGGGCAAAACGTGCATCGGTCAAACAGCAAAGACTGAAGGAAAGTACAGGCCTTGCTAAGACAGAGAATGCTGTAGGAGGCAGAATCAGGGTACACTCACCTTACACTTCCAAGAGTGAGCAGGCAGTTCCTCCATGGGTGGTTTTAGGCAGAAGGTATGGTATCCTTTGTCACACGTCTCACAAACCAACATCTTAGAGTCATTCCCAGGTTTCCTGCAGGGGCACAGGGAACGTGACAATGTCCTCTCTGCCCTCGTTTCCTTTCTTTTTTGTTGTTTTCATGTTAAGAGGCCTTCTCCAACTGCCCTCATTTTCAACCCTAACCTGTGATGTGCCTAAGACTTCCCTCCTGCCCTTCCATTCCTACCTGCAGGCTTGGCACACTTTGCATTCAGGGCACTGCCAGCCAGCACGTTTGCGGGCAGTCAGAGCAGTGTCCAGGCAGGCCCCATGATAGTGATGCCCACAGCTGGTACAGAAGAACAGGTCACACAACTCCCCTGGCCCCTCACACACTGCACAGCGAGCCTCCTCTGCAGGGGATAGAGACAGCACAGGTTAGCTATGGATTCCCTGAAAGCCTCAGCACAGTGCTGAACACACAACAGGCGCTCCACGGGCACAGAATGAACAAATAACAAAGTTACTGAGTGCCTGCCCAACGCCTGCCAGCTACTGTTCTAGGCACTGGAAACACAGTGGAAAATGAGACAGGCAAAACTCTGGTGCTCACAAAATTCACAACTATTTTAATGGGGCAGACCAACAGTATATAATTCTATGCTTTGATCAGTGCTCTGCAGAGTACAAAAATCCAAGGCACACTTGGTCTCTCATTGGCGCTATGTCCAAAGGTCAGGACTTCTCACCCAGATGTGCAGCCCCCTCACTGTGCTCTGGGCATAGCAGCTGCAGTGTTTTCATGGATAGGAAGGAACCGCTGGCAGTTGCACAGGGGAAGTGGTAAAGCCGTGGACATCCAGGTGAGCGGCAAGGGATGGAGGCACCGAGCCTGGTGCAGTGGGAGCAGCGCTGCCAGGGTGAAGAAGGCTCAGCGTCAGCCAGCTCTCTCCAGAGAAACAGTTCAGGCACTAGTTCTGCCCCAGTATACCCATGGTCCTTCTCATTCCACCCTGACTCACAGAAGCCCACCAGCCCTGTCCATCCTCTGCAAGAGCAGCCCTGCCCTTCACCTATGCAATCCTCTGGCCCCAGCCCCACCTGTGAGATCCCTGAGAAGATGGCCTTGTCCACACCACATAGTTGTGGGCCCTCCTGCCCCCATACGCCTGCCGACCACGCAGCACACCAATGGTGAGCCCAGCAGGACCCTTTACAGGTGGGAAGAGGTAAACAGGAAGGAAAGAGTTAACAAAAAGAGGCTGGCTGGCTCAGGACTACCCAGCCCTTATCCCATTTCCTGCCCCATTCCCCTCACTCACCTCCAGGTTCTCCTAGGTGGGCAGGTGTAAGGCCCTCAGGGAAACCAATCTGTGATAGGTCCTCACTGGGCAGCACTGCCTCATTGGGCCCTGGGCTCCCCCCAGGGGACACCACTGGACACCGGGGCCAATCAAATGGCAACTCAAAGCGCTGTAGCTCCCGCTGCCCGTGCAGACTGGGCTCCCCGCAGTTACAGAGAGCACAACGCCGCAATGGACCCCCACTGTGGACACATAAGCATCAGTACCACGCCAGGCCCCTGCAACCCTATGATTTGGCATGCCCATGCTTCCCCAACACTCATTTTCCTAAATCCTCTTCTTGAAAGCCCTAGACTCTCAAATCAAATCTTCATGTGCCCTCAAACAAGTTACCTGCAGTCCTGAGGAGTGTCCTGAAGCCTGGGACTCCCAGAACTAGGGACAGAGACCTCCCCCACATGTGGGTTAGGCAGGTCTGACTCAGTGGCACCTGGGTCCTCAGAAGCTGCAGGTTCATCAGCTGAATAAACAGACAAACAGCATGTGTCAGCCATCATCCCTATTTAATACGAAGTCCACTCACCAGAAGCATGAGATTATCCAAAACCCTCAGTGGCTCAAAGTGATGGTATTTCAACTGTTGTCCCAAAGAACAAAGTTGTTTCATTATTTATCTACTGCATAGACTTAGCTCACATCCTTGTGCCAGGACCAGAATTGTAAGGTTGCCCATGAAATCTAAAAGCAAACACAGAATCTGTCCTACTCACCTGCCGGTTCTGAATCTTTATCCTCACCAGGCAGCTTCTGGCTGTCCATCCCTCTCTCCGACTGGGCAGGGCCCTCTCGGGGAGACCTGTTGGTGCCAAGAGAGAGATCTATATGCCTAGTAAGTCTTCCCAAGAAGCACTTTTCCCAGAATCCCAGGAAGAAGGCATCCAGACCCTCCAGACATCAGAGCAAAGCCATACTACAAACTCCAATACTGACAAGGAAAGTCATTCTCCCTAACCTGTACCCCCACTGCCTACTTCCTCCCAAGATAAACACATACCCTCTTTTCACACTCTGGAGAGATTGTCAGGGGGTCCATTTGACTTTCCCACTTCCAGCCTCCTCTGTAAGAGTTCCTGGGGCCATAGCATCCAACTAGAAGCAAATCCATTTATACCTAATACTGCTCTTTGCCTTGCCTCTGGGTTTTTGGCTTCTGGTGAGCCCTATCCCCACACCTTTTCCTCAGGTCTCAAGTAAGCTATCATTCCAGAGACCAGTCAGTGCCAACCCAGGGGCAGTCATGACCCAGGAAGCCTGAGTCCAGCCAAAATCCTTCTCCCAGAGGCACAGTCTGAGGCACTGCAAGAGATGGAACACACTATTGGAACTAAAGCCTAGCTATGGATGGATCTCCCCCACCACCACTTGTTTCTACGAGGACATCACCATCACAAAAGAAGAAACTCCCTAATTTCCACCCACTTCCAACGCAAATCCAGCTCAGACCAATGCCTGGACCCTGCCCTAACTGAGCTCAGGGTCTCACCCAGCCTGAAGGTCTCAGGTCGTTGCCCTTAGCGACATCAACTGCCCTTCCTCTTCAGATATCTCTAGTAGTTAACAGAAGTGGACCTTGAGAGATACTGAGCATGTGTAGCCAGGCCTGAGGCTAAGCATGCTGGGAGTTGTAGTCTCAGGAAGCATAAAGCCACTCAGAGGAGTTCTAAACAGGGCAGGACATAGCACAGCAGAGCAGAGTAGCTTCCTTCCTCTTCCCTTAAGCAGGGTTTCCACACACATACATGGGGGTGGGGAATAACGGTCCCTTGTCCCTTCTAAGAAATTCGTGGCTGTATCAAAGCCAAATGAAACTATAGTTATACCTAAAAAAGTTGAGACTTACACCTTTGGGCATTATTTTCCTAGATCTCAGAGGGAATTAAGCACAGCGGGAGAAAAAGAATTAGACATGAGGAATAGGAAAGGGATCCTATAGAAGGAGGGAGAAAGGGATAGGTGCCAGCAGCTTGTGGTGGGAAGTGTAGACCCTTTCTCTTAATCAGAGAACATATACAGTGTTCCTAGATAAAGTAGTGATGACGTGGGGGAAATCCTTAAAACAGAACTCTAAACAATCAAAGTTTGAGAAATTCATCTCTCGCCTTTTCCATTCTTCTCGATTAACCGTAGTGACCACACCAACCTTTGCAAGGACAACCCCCTCCTCCCAAGATAGAAGGCAAATACCCCAGCCAGCCACTTAGGGATGAATGACTGGGGCAAATGAGACAGAGGGAACCCTCAAAGGTGCCCCAAATGAGTAAATCAATTCCCTAATTCCACAATATCACTCCTCCTGCCCAGAACTCACCCTTTATTTCCAGATACTGGCTATGCCCCTATGGAGACATGTCATAGGAAAGAAAATTACTTTTTCCCCTAACACTTTCAGAACATACTGGAGAAAGTAACTCATCACCTGATACACATCATCCCCATTCCCAAGTCATCTCTCTTTCCCAAACCTGCCACACAACCACACCTGAAAGGAAAGCAGGGTGGGTCATCTGGCCGGCTCACAGAAAAGCTGCTCCAGAACTTCAAGGAGTCCTTAGAAGCTACCCGTGGGAAGTGGAAGGTGGAGGTGACGGCAGCAGCCATGCTCCTCTTCCATTCAGTCATTCAAGGCCTAACCACACCCAGAAGGTCCAAGGAGCCCTTAAAGTTTTCTTTTTCTTTCTTTCTTTTTTTTTTTAAAATAAAGATGGGGGTTTCACCATGGTGGCCAGGCTGGTCTTGAACTCCTGACCTCAGGTGATCCACCCACCTCGGCCTCCCAAAGTGCTAGGATTACAGGAGTGAGCCACCGCGCCTGGCGCCCTTAAAGTTTTCTAATTGTTTGCATCTTACTATATCTTACCACTACATGCCCCCAAAGATCCTCTGCCCACTCTGCTCTCAAAGTTGAAGCCAAAAGAGTCACAAACAGCAAGAACTAAAAGGCAACAATGATAATACAGTGGGTAGGAGGAGGGGTGCCTCACACAAGGCCAGAGGGACAAATTCCTCAGCCCTCCCCCGAGCGCAGCCCTCTCAGGCTGGTAAGGCTGGTACTGCTCAAGAAGGTACAGAAACCACCTTCATCTGGCCTTGAGAGACATAGTACTAACATCCTCCAAAGCCAGATCCCCATTCACAGGGCCATGGAAGATGAAAGATTAAGAAGCAAACAGAATGTCATACAAGTGGACCAAAAATAGGGGGCATCTCCAAAAAGCCTGAGCCCTCAGTCCCTGTTTCCCCATCCCTGCAGTCCAGGATCCCAATGCTGATTCCAAGTTATCCCAAGACCCCAGGTTCCCCAGTCCCATCATTCACAGCCAGTAAAAAGACACACATTCACACCCAGGATTTTTTTTCCTGGATCTAAACTTGGCTAGTGTCTGGCCAGGCTTCCTCTATAGAACTAAAGATCCCAGACAGCAAGTACAGAGCTAGGGAGTAAAACTGTGCTGGCACCCCTCAGTCCTATACCTAAGAGGCCCAAAACAGCAAAGAGGAGGACAAGGATTTATCTCAACCCATTCTCCTTCTCGCCTCCCTCCCAGACCAACAGCTTTCACTCCATTTTCCCAGGCAAGGGGGAAATGGAGGCTTGGAGAGGTGTAAGGCTGAAGCAGGCCCTTCAATGAACAGCTCTTCAGTAGGACTCAAGACTTCCTGGTTCCCAGCCTGAGACTCAAACCACACCTCTTCCCACCCCCATTTTGGGTCAGCCCTCTGAGATGGATCCAAACGGAACACTGGCCATGCAGACCCTCTGAACTGTGTCCCTGGCTCATCCTGAACAAGGTACAGTTTATATAAAGAACTTGTTTGGGGACAAACAGGAGGGACTCTCCATAGACTGCAGGAACGGAAAGCAGGCTTGACAGCTCACCTCACTATACCACACCTGTGCTACCTCTCACCTTTCAAAGCTCTTTAAAACGCAAAACCTCTATTTTCTCCTTTCCAATACCAGACTCAAATCTAGTGTATGTATGTTGGAGGGGGCAGAGTGAGGGAGCAAAAGGCACCAGCCAAATCCCTGCTAGGCAGCATGACAGGTGTGAGAAGGGCAGTCCCAAGCCCAAGCAAGGCCCAGAGGCTTGGGGCTCAAGCTGCAGGCACCCTTTCTCCCCAATACCTTCTGCCAGGGGTGGAATCACTGGTTTCCAGGAGAAAAGAGCTCTGATCAAGCCATTTCTCCCCCAGAAAGATACGGGCCACCCCATTCTGCACAGTTGGTACAGGATCAGAGAACCAGTTAACAATCCCCAGTCAAAAAAGGGTTGGAGAAGTCTGGGAGGGGCTTGCAGGACTGGCCAGGGACTCATGGGCAGCCAGCTCCCCATATCAGGCCGGGAGAAAGCAAGAGACAAAAGCCATTTTTTGCAGCCTACATTCGCAGGGAGAAAATCTCAACGGCCTCCTCTATAATCCTCTGGAGATTAGATCCATCCCAAGAGGAGGGGAGGCAAAGCAGGCTAAGACAGCACTAGGCCTCACTGGGGTCACTTTGCCAGGCAGGGGTAGTTTAAAGTTGAACAGCAGGTCCAGAGCTGGCCCCAGCCCCGCCTCCTTCTTGCCCCAGCCACCCCCTTCATCACAACTAGTCAGTTTCCACACACCCTCCCTTTGCCTAGTGAAAGAAGGCCTGGTGAAGGATCTAGGGTTCCTTGAGTTTTCCAGGGGCTGTTTTGCGTGCCCAACTCGGTAGTAACAACCTTAAAGTCCAACTGGCATAAGTCTGACCTGGCAGCGGCACCCTCCCCCACCATCCCAAGTTGCTCTGTCCCAAGGCCCACAAGGAACCCAGGGGGGAGAAGCAGCAGCCTGGGATTGGTGCTGGCATCAGGGCCTGGGTTCTAGTTTAGTTGAGTTCCCCCAACACGAAAATAAACAGGAGGAGAGGCTATCTGGCCAGGTTCCCAAAGTCCCGTGGTTCCCCGAACCCCCAGTCTTTAAAAAGGCACACCCCAAGACACCAGGCCTCAGTTCTGCCCTGGTGACTAGCTCAGGTTCCCTTGACAGACCCTGCCAAAGAAACCCTCCCCAGCTCTGGCACCCCCTTCTCCAACCTAAAGGCCAGCTCCGGCTAAGATAGTCCATCTGGCTATGCCCCCAGTCCAACCCTTTCTGGGCCCTGGCCGGGCGGACTTCACTCACCTCTTCACAGGGCGATCCAGAAATCCTCATCCGAGAACATGGCCAGAGCCCGGGCCGCTCCCCGACCTCCAACCGCCAGAGCGATCACAGCCGCCCCCCGCACGGGGGGGCTTAGGGGGGCCAAGAACGGTAAATCCAGGTCGGAGTGGCCACCCTCCCCCCACAAAAAACAGCAAGAAGCCAAAGAGGGGGTTCTCTGCCTCAGCTTCCAGCAGTTTAGGTTTCCATGGACAGCCCCAGGGCGGCGAATCCCGAGCGGACACAAAGAGAGCACCGGTGGCTTTGATCTTGGGCGAGCAGGCTCCGCATCCGCGTCGCCGGGCGGCCTCTCAGTCCTAGGGCCCGGCCAGCGCCCCGGCCGCCCGCGCCGGGCTCGGGCGGAACGTCGAGGCTCTCCAGATGGAACGTCGAGGCGCCTCCCCAGCAGCCCGGAAGGAATGCCGCGCCGCCCCGCGCCTGGCCCGGATGGAACGTGAGACCCTCGCAGGAGCACCGAGCCCCTCTCCCCGCCCCGGCCGGCGCCCCGGGGCCGCGCGAGCTACGGCGACGCGGGGCCGGCGGGGCCGCGGGGCTGAACCTGACACACACCCAGCGCCGGGCTTCTCGACCCCGAGCGCTCACCCTCGGCCGCTTCGAGCCCCCCACCTTCTGCTCCCCCCGGGGAAGGGAGGAGGCTAGGTGGGCGAGGAAGAGGAAGGGGCGGGCGGTGCGAACCCTCTGCCTGCTCCCCTCCGGCCGCTCCAGGCCCTGCGCTCGCCTCCCTTCCCCTCTGGCCTCGGGAGCTGCCCCGCCCCCGGCCTGGCCGGCTCTGGTCGGTGGCACCCCCTCGACCCCCGGCTGGCTGTGATCGCGGGGGGCTTAGAGGTGCATGGCCCAACCCCGGCTCCCGGCACCGGGGGGTCAGGAAACTGAGCGGAAAGTGGGGAACGAGGCAGCCATTTGCAACCGGAGAGGAAAGTAGTGCAGCGCGGCGCCGCTCCGCCTCCCCCCCTCCGCCTCCTGTTCGGCCGGTAGGGTGGTTCCTGCGAAGGGGCTATTTCCTGGCCCGAAAGCTGGGCAGCGGTCGTGGAGATTCGTGAAGCCTCCGGCGCGAGATCCGGGGGGGCCTTTTGCCCGGGGCACCCCACTCGAGACGGGGAGAAAGGAGAAGAGACGGCTCTATTTTGTGTTGGAGCGGAGCAGCGGAGGGATCCCGCCCTCTCGGAGGAAAGGCTGTGACTCTGCAGTTCTACGCACACGCTGCGGGATCCTTCCGCTCCGGGTTAACCCCGACCGCGCCGGGCCGGCAGCCGGGCAGACACGTGGGAACGAAGCCCCCCTCCCCTCTGCCCCGGCCCTGTGGCCGCCTCATTTACCGCCCGGGCGATGAAACTAGGACTTCGGCCGCTTTCTAATTCCATACCCTTGCAGTCATTGGTCCCTGAAACTCCAACTGCCCTCTTGCTTTGGCCAGGGGCAATCTTTCCCGGGAGGGGGATGGAAGAAGGGCCAGGAGATTGGCTGCTGCTCAGCATCCTGGGAACTGGAGTCCGCAAATGGAGAAAGTGAGGCACGGCGCCTGGCGCTGCAGAGGGTGGGTTCTTGCCACGTTTGGGGGCCCGAAGAAAACCGGATGAGTCCCTAGTCATTCCTTCTGACTCTAGCCCCCCGTGTGAGGAAGGACTGTCGGTACCCACACAATCACCACACACACCTCCCCATCGAAACATAAATGTAGAGCCTCCCTTTTCAGGGTGCCCCCACCCCCACCTCCAGTCCTTCCAGATCTTCATGACCCATGTCCCTTTTTTAGTAAGCTGAGGTAGCCAGCCTCGCCGCTACCTGGCCAGAATGCTGTTCTGGACAAGATCCCAAAACATACTCTGCAGGCAGCCCGCCCCCCCCCATAAGTCTGGATGAGAAAAGATTGGAATGCCTCTTGGGCATCAACTGCACACATGGGGTGGACAAAAGGAGACAAATTAACTATGTCCAGATACTTTATATATTCTTAGTTATTCCTCACCTTCAGTATGAGTTACATGGAATTATCTCCATATTACAGATGAAGATTGGGGCTACAATAGGTAAGATTGCCCACAGAACTACATCTAGTGAGAAGTTGAGCCATTATTCAAACCAAAGGCCATGTTTTTCCTGGGATTACAAATAATAATAATACATGTTTTAAAAGAAGATGTGGAGAAAGAGGCAAGCAGATTCGACCAAAGGCCATCTTTGTGGGGAAAGGGTTTACAATCCTGTCCAACAGAACTTTTCTACAGTGATGGAAATTGACTAAATCTACACTATCTAATATGGTAGCCATTAGCCACATGTAGCTCTGGAGCACTTTGAAATGCAGGTGGTACAAGGAGGGAACTTTGTATTTTTTGTTGTTTTTTGAGACGGAGTTTTGCTCTTGTTGCCCAGGCTAGAGTGCAATGGCGCCATCTCAGCTCACTGCAACCTCTGGCCCCTGGGTTTAAGCAATTCTCCTGCCTCAGCCTCACAAGTAGCTGGGATTACAGGTATCCACCACTATGCCCAGCTAATTTTTTGTATTTTTAGTAGAGATGGGGTTTCACCATGTTGGACAGGCTGGTCTCAAACTCCAGATCTCAGGTGATCCACCTGCCTTGACCTCCCAAAGTGCTAGGATTAAAGGCGTAAGCCACTGCGCCCAGTCAGAAAATTAACTTTTTATTTGAATGAAATTAAATAGCCATATGTGACTTGATGCTTTTATATTCAACAGTGCAGAAGACCTTAATCCCTACTGACTAGACTCAGTAGGGATCAGGACCAGGTTTGTCTTCTTCAAGCCACACATGCCCATCATGTTTTCTACACTGACCATTCATGCCTATTTGAGCAAAAAGACTTCAGCAGTGACCCCATACCTGTTTTGGTTACAATAGAATAAGTTAACCAACAGACAGAAGTTGGAAAATGGAAGGCCTCTCCCAGCTTTACACCCAGAGGCAGGGAGAGGCAGACCCTTACCAGAAAGACCTCCAGACCTCCAGTAATAACACAGATAGCTACCCACTATTTCATTTTTTTTTTTTTTTTTGAGATGGAGTTTCACTCTTTGTTGTCCCCCAGGCTGGAGTGAAATAGCACAATCTTGGCTCACTGCAACCTCTGCCTCCCAGGTTCAAGCAATTCTCCTGCCTTAGCCTCCCGAGTAGCTGGGATTACAGGCACATGCCACCATGCCTGGCTAATTTTGTATTTTTAGTAGAGATGGGGTTTCACCACGTTGGCCAGGCCGATCTCGAACTCCTGACCTTGGGTCATCCACCCAAGGTCTCCCAAAGTGCTGGGATTACAGGCATGAGCCACTGCACCCGGCCACCACCCACTATTTCTTAAGGACTTATTATGTGTGAAGAATTGTAGTAAGCTTTACATATATTACTTCATTTCATTTTCACCTCAACTCTATAAAGCACACTTAGCCCCACTTCATAAATGGGAAATGGAGGCTCTAAGAGGTTAAGTGACTGGCCAAGGCCACACAGCTAAATTGAGGAGCTGTTAACTGCTATCACTACTGACCCCAGGCCTTGAGATTACTTATTGATAAATTTCTAGAAAACTTTAGGTAAGTCTACCCTAGACCTCTTGAAAATGGCAGCAGGAAGGTAGGCCCCTGTAATGAGTATCCTAAGTCAGATGTGCAAAAGGACTTAATTTTAATAGAAGGAGAGGGTGGTGACCTCCCAGAAGAACCTCCTAAGCCAGTGAGATTGTTGTTTGGAGTATGTTTCTTCTCGCAGCCCTTATTTCTTTTTAGATTCTGAATCAGAAAAGCAAAAACAACTTTTGAAAATCAGCATGACAAGCCATATCCCCAGCTGTAAGCCTGGAGCCAGGCATTGACAAAGTCACAGCTAAAAATCACACCTAGGTTTTGTTCATCCTTCCCAGGTAAGTACACTGACAGGGTACCTCGCCTCCCCCAGTTGTCGGAAGAGGTCTGTACCTTCCCTGTACCTACCATTCAAATAACCCTTATATGTCCTTGGAGGAGGTATTAGACTAGTTAGCCTCTCAGGCTGGTAGAAGGGTGGGGATCAAGAAAAGTGGAGGCAAACAGGACCAAACTTTCCTAGCTGAAATACCAATCCTACTGAGGCAGTAGGTCCATAAAAGCAGAAGCAATAGCCTTTGACACCTAAAAAACAGTAGCACAACACCAAAGGTGTGAAAAGTAGCATAAGATTAAAGGTATGAAAAAAGCAAAGAGGTCAGGTACGGTGGCTCACGCCTGTAATTCCAGCACTTTGGGAGGGTGAGGAGGGTGGATCATGAGGTCAAGAGACCGAGACCATCCTGGTCAATACAGTGAAACCCCGTCTCTAAAAAAGAAAGAAAGTAAAGAAAAGAGCAAAGAACGGCCATTTCAATGAAAGACATGGGGACATGGAGCACAGGGGGACTAATATGCACCAGAGGCATTATTTGTTTTCTTTTATTTATCTATTTATTTTGAGACAGATTCTCGCTCTGTTGCCCAGGCTAGAGTGCAGTGGCTCGATCTCAGCTCACTGGAACCTCTACCTCCTGAGTAGGTAGTCGCGTGTCACCATGCCCGGCTAACTTTTTTTTGTATTTTTAGTACAGACTGGGTTTCACCGTGTTAGCCAGGATGGTCTCTGTCTCCTGTCCTCATGATCCGCCCACCTCACCCTACCAAAGTGCTGGAATTACAGGCATGAGCCACCGTGTCCAGCCGGCAATATTTCTTACTTTACTCAACACTCCTGGGAAGTCAAATCACAACACTTTAGTCTCTGCCTCAACGCTCCTTCTCAATTCTTACATCATTAGGAATGGGGGGCTTCCTTCCTCCCCAAACCCCATCCTGCAAGTAAATGCCAAGGCCCCAGGAAGACAGCTAGGTCAGCATGTTGCGGCTGGCCACTAGAGGGTGTTGTTTCTATAGTTAAGGGGATCTTGAAAGGTTACAAACTTGGATGGGAGTGGCTGCCAATAGGGACTCAGTATATGAGGAACCCAGTGGAATAGAAAAGTGGGAAAGGCAAGTAGTAATTCTTAGGATAAAGGTCCTTAATAAGTGAGGAATACGGAATAGGAACAAGGTAGGAAGAAACATTCCCCACCAAATACCACAGCCATCACTCCTTGGAAAAGGAGATATTGGCTCTGAGCTCTACCTAGATACACAGAAGTCAACAATAAGGCGGGGCGTGGTGGCTCACGCCTGTAATCCCAGCACTTTGGAAGGCCAAAGTGGATGGATCACTTCAGGTCAGGAGTTCGAGACAATCCTAGCCAACATGGTGAAACCCCATCTCTACTAAAAAATACAAAAATTAGCCGGGCACGGTGGCTCAAGCCTGTAATCCCAGCACTTTGGGAGGCCGAGGCGGGTGGATCACGAGGTCAAGAGATCGAGACCATCCTGGTCAGCATGGTGAAACCCCGTCTCTACTAAAAATACAAAAAATTAGCTGGGCATGGTGGCACGTGCCTGTAATCCCAGCTACTCAGGAGGCTT